GAAAAGAGTTGCCAAGTTTGCTGAGAGCCTGACCCTGCAAGTGGCCTCCTGTGCTCATACGAAGATCTGTCAAAATCTGTCATGTCTGAAAACAAGACCTTTCTCTGTCTGGATGCAGCTCCAGGACTAGAACCCATATATGCATATGCTAACAACTTCATATGTGAGCTTTGCACAGAGTATTAAGGACATTTTAATTGGCTTAAGGCTCTATATGGTTAGGCTTTCCTAGGCCTACTGACACAGCACAAAAAAAGGCACTGTGTGTATTCCACACCCATTAGGAGGTTCCAAGGTTTGTATTTAATTTCAAAGAATCTCAAAAAAATCTCATTTTCCTTAAAGAAAGATTAAGAGAATGCTTAGTGGCAGAGATACTTGAAGGGAGACAAGGTTTTGGACCCTGATTTCTCAAGTATAAACAGTGGGCCAGGATCACACTCCTGATCCACTAATGAAGGCTGGATTTCCCCTCTCTAATCAGCTCTCTCAATGATTGCTGACTGTTTTTATTCTTCAGGGGCCAAGGTGAGATCTGCATAGGAGGGGCTTGAGCCACCTGAACTAAAGCTGTGTTTTAAATGTGTGGGTACAGCAACTGACTCAGCAAGCATAAAATGTGTGATCAAAGTGAGGAAGAACTCCTGATGAAACCTCCTGCTGGGAAAAGGCAGATGTGTGTGCTAACACCTTAAAGGAAGTCAGTCTGGAGGAGAAAAAAACTGAAGAGATTTGCCATACAAGTCACCCACAGGAATTAGCAAAGCTGACCAGTAGATAATACTACATAAGAAGGGAAAATGGAATTGAATTTAGGACTAGTTAAACAAAAATACCACAAATGAAAATATATAGGCAAAGTTACCGTGAGTTCTGGGGTCTTCCAAAATGCCATTTTAGCTACCACAAGAAATCTTTTTATAATCACTTGTACTAATGTTCATATTCTTGCATCCCCAAGCTGGAAAAGAAACAGCTCTTCTAACAAATTTAAGGCCTCTCTCAAAATTTCACACATTCATATATTTTTGTCACCAATCCAAACAAAGGGTCCAGAAGAGCAATTATTTACTGCTGGGCATTATGAAAAAATATCTCTGAATTAAATTATTTTCAATACTCCAAATTTTGAGTACATGAATGGAATTGTATTCTTTTAATAACAATACTGCTTTTTAAAGGACATTTTGCACTCACCCAGAGATACATGGAATTCTGAGTACAAATACACGCAAACCCCAACACTTAGTCAAGAATCTGCTTTTGTTTTTCTCGTTGTTGTTAATTTTTCAGAGGCAAACTGAAACAATTTCATCTGTACTGATTCTTTACAAAACTCACCCTGGTGCACAGAAACAAATACAGTTTTATACCATACAAGACTTCAAAATAACTATATAGAAACTACCACATGAGGTGAATCCTAAGGCCAGTATGTCCAGTACTAGGTCTCTAAGAGAGGCAGGACCTTGAAGAAGGTTTAAGTGAGAACAATTTATGGTGAGTCACTGGTTTATTTTATTCTAGCTTGTATACCTTTTTGGATTATAGTTTGTTTGTGAATAGATCTCTCTGTGTATATGAAACCTAAGTGGAGAATAATTTGATGAATCCTGTGGTTTTGTTCAAGAGTAACACTGGTAAGTGGATGCCCTGTGCGAAAACTGTGACTCCAATCTTCACTCCCAGTAGCTTTTCCTTATAATGTGCTCTGTATCTGCCAGGAACTTGATGTGCTAGAATAGGCCTAACTTGCTAAAACTTCTGAACATTTCAAAGAGGCACTGTTGGAGTACAAAAAACTTTGTCATGCCATTTACCAGAGCTCTTCTGCAATATGCTTTTCAGATTTTTGCCCCAAAATAGCTATTTAGAGTTCTTAATATTTCATAGAGAAACCAAATTCACTCCTTGCAATGAAAACACAAGATGCCATCAGTAGCTAAAAAAAGCATGAAATGTAGATTTAAAATGAAAGAATGAAAAATAAGCATTTTCGTTTTGCATTGTACTTGTCCTCATAGAAAATTCCTGGTCCACAACCTGTGTACTGCACAGAAATTGTGTAATAACAATACACTCATACTTTTAGCAGGCTTTCAAAGCCTCTGAGAATATTAGTAGCCTTGTAAACTCTAAAATACAGCTTTTTGGCAGTTCTCATAAGAATTCTCGTAAGAATTGTTGTTGACCACATATCTACAGAAAATTCTATTATTGCACAGTATCACAGCAGCAACCCAACTAGTCACTAGGCAGTCATGCAGGCTCTCAGCTTCCTACTCCACAAATGCCAACAGAATAAGAGGCTCATCAAAAACGTGAATAATCTTAAAAACACTTTGATTCACGTTTTAAGTTGATAGGGAGATATGAAAGGTGCCAAATCAGCTTCCATTTCAATATCAATATTAAAGACCAGCACCGCCCTCCATGCTGAGCTGCTCATCATCACCTGGATTCAGCCAAGCCCCCTTACTTCATCACAGACATGTTCATAAGCTGGGAACCAATTAATTTATGGAACTGTACAGGATACACACGAAGACATATCATGTCCATGGAGCAGCAGTGTCTACTGTAGTTCATTTTTTCTATTTCATAAAGGCTACAATCATCACCATTAAGGACAAAAAAGGCTATAAATTAAGCCAATAAGGAAAGCAAACATTTAATAGAATCACAGAATGGTCTGAGTTGGAAGGGACCTCAAAGATGATTTAGCTCCAACCCTCTGCCACACCTTCCACTAGACCAGGTTGTTCAGAGCTCCATCCAACTTGGCCTTAAACATTTCCAGGAATGGGGCATCCACAGCTTCTCTGGGTGACCTGTGCCAGTGCCTCACCACCCTCACAAAAAAGAATTTCTTCCTCATGTCTAAACAGATCTTCTCTCTTTCAGTTTCATTCCCCCTTGTCCTGTCACTCCAGGCCCTTGTAAATAGTCTTTCTCCATCTTTCTTGTCGGCTCCCTTCAGGTACTGGAAAGCTGCAATTTGGCCACCCCAAGGTCTCACCAGAGCAGAGCAGGAGAGCAGAATTCCCTCCCTTCCCTGCTGCCCACACTGCTCTGGATGCAGCCCAGGACACGGGGGGTTTCTGGGCTCCCATGGCTGGGTCATGTCCAGCCTCTCACCCACCAGCACCCCCAGGTCCTTCTCAGTAGAGCTGCCCTTGGTCTGTTCATCCCCCAGCTTGGATTGGTACTGGGAGTTGTCCTGACCCAGGTGCAGCACCTTGGACTTGGTCTTGTGAAACCTCATAGGATTCCTATTGGCACATTCCTCGAGCTTGTCCAGTATGAAGCTTCTTTTGGGGATCTAACCTCTGCCTTTTGACTTATTTTCTCTAAAAAAATGTTGTTGACTGACAGACATATTTTATCCAGAAACATAGACTAGGCAATTTTTGAGAGCAGTGGCCAAAGTTAGGAAGCATGGAGGGTCCAGGGAAGAGGTGGGAGAAAATAGTTTATTCACTACAAATACAGTTTTGATGATGAATTTTACTTAATTCTTTTAATTAAAAAAAATTAAAAATTGTTCTATCAAAAACATATTTGGAGAAATTTTACTGAATTGTATTGATTTTTGTTTCAGAAAAATGATTAACAGTATTTAAAGAAACAAAGACTGTTAAAAAATAAATTTGCTATTTGAGTCACAATGATTTCTTTTCTCAGATTTCTTATAGTGATTTCTTATATAGTAATTTCTTACAATTATTATTCCAAATCAATCAAATAATTACAATTTAATTACAATGTATATCTATAAAGCAAACACCATGACAAGCTCTTCAGGAGAGACCGTAATATAAGAAGAAAAAGAATAGACAATGTTAGCAATCTTTTTGCTAGAGCTGTAAAAATTATATTATTAATGGATGATATATTATTGATAATTATATCTTGTAATGTTTTAAACAAAATACCATAAAAAAAATTTGAGCTATGGAACACTTCAACATGAAATAAGAGAAAGACTTACATAGGAACACCGTGATCTTATTTACTATTTTGTCTGTATTTGATTATTTTAACCAGGCCTAAGATGAGTCTATTGAAAAGCACAAGAACTTTAAATCTCAGGCAAACCACACCTGTATACTGTGAACACAACATTCCATCCAAAATAGCATCTTTAATTTATTTTGTCCATACTTGTCTCTCCCAACAAGTTATCACATCACTGTATAGGAAGCATCAAAAAATGATCAAATGGGGTGTAGGCAACATTAAAGTTGTACTGTATGCAAATTATATTGCCCAACTCCCTCATTAAACCCCATAAAAATAAAAGACATGACCAAGTTTTTTCTGCAAACTACCTACAGCTTATAACAACTGAAATTCCACAGGTAAAACACAGAATCCAGCCTAAAAACCTATGCACAGCAAGAGTGTAAATTGGTGCTTTGGCTTAATGTCTTTGGTATCCAGCAAACCGGATCATTATCTGCAATTTCATTCATTTCCTAATTGTATTTTATGAATTTCAGATGTACAGAAATAAATTTCTGCTTATAAATTTCCAAAGACATCTCTACTTCCCAACACTCACTAGAGTGTTGCTTTGCCATTCCTGTGATGTTAAAATACCATCCCTGGAGTTGTCAGCAGACAATCTTGTTTGAAATGCTGAAATACTGGTAGGTAAAGGGAGACTGACAGCACCCAGAAAAAAAAAAAAATCATTTGTAAGGTTTTGAAATAACACAAAATGAGAAGAAACAAGGACAAAAGAAAAGAAGGTAGAGAAATAATAAAAATACATACATTTGGAAAATAAACTCATTTTCTAATTGAAAAGGGTAGAAGTCTTGAAACGTCAACTTTTTCTTTTTTTTAATGACAAACCAACAGCATTTTGAACATATTTATGATATATTTTGCAAATTTTTTTCCAACAATGCAGAACACAAATCTCTCAGAATTAGTCATCAAATGTCTGGAAAACATTCTTATTAAAAAAAATGTGAGTATGTGTATTTGCTTACCTGGACAGTTAAGCAAAATTCACTGGCCTGAACAGAATGCATTGTAAAAGAAATCTGTAAAAGAGGGGGAAAAAGTTTCATTATAATTTATTTATAATTAAAAATTATAATTATTAAAAACTTACTAAGTTTTGTAATGTTTTTAATGACAAAACTTAGAAAAAAGTGGTTACTATTATAGAGAAATTGCAAGCAGCAAAATAATTCTAAACAAAAAGCCTCTTAAAATCTTTCAGGTCACTGTTTTCCCAAAGGATTCCTGACTGTGTGACAGAATTACATTTATAGACAATAAAAATCAAACCATGCTATTCGAAAAAGGATTAAAGGTATCTGTTATGTCAGTGGTATCAACTTTTGTGTATTTTTAGTCAAATACAAATGTGTAACTATCATTATTCCTTAAAGGATTCTCAGATGTCCGGCTGGTAAAAAAACCTAAACATATATTTCTCATTAAATGTTCTTCAGGGCATTTAAATATACAGAGTACGTTTACTTCTATAACATTTCATATAAACACCATATCAAAAGAACGCTATTAAGACTGTAACATGGTTAATATAAACATCAGAAAATACCAAATGTTAGCCTGCCTGAGCAACTTTTATTTCTTCAATTAGTATGGAATATGCTACAGTTGTTAATTACTTAGTCCCACAGTATTTCCATGGGAACTTGTCTTCAGTCCATGTGCAAACAGACGTTCAAGAAGTTCAAGCACTGATATTTTTTGTAAATTTCATTGATTAACCTGTAGTCTGGAGAGACATTCATTCAAATCCTGATAGAAAAAAAGGTGATGTTTTTGCTATGGTCCATATAGTCTAATCATGATTGCTTTGACTGTGTTGCAAACACTGCACAACTCAAGTTCAGCAAATTCCTTTGCAGGAAAAACATTGTCCCAGATGAGTTCCTCAGTGCCAAGAGATCAAGCTGAAAAGTGAACACTTAATTTGAGTCACATGGGCTCAGCTTTTTCAGAGGACTCAGCATTACACTGGACTTTATACGTTAGAGATCCTGCTCAGTGGTTTCAGTTGGAGACGTTAACACCAAGCACGCTGCAAACCAGGTGACAAACTGAGGTTACAAAAGTGGGAAACACCTAATTGCTAAGCATCCCTAAAAAATTGGTGCAGTGCACTTCATATCTTGTATGAATTCTGTGGTAAATCAGAGGACTGAATTTTGTTCTCCTGGGTTTTAATCAACTTTGTCATGAGACTCCTTTTTCTTGATTGGATATGGTCTCAGAGTCTCCATCACTACAAACCAAATTCACCCTCAAAGGTGGCCCATCCACTCCCTGCTTGGATCAAGAACAGTTTGAAAAAGAAGATTCTTACCAAGCACGAAAAAATTCCCACAGCACATTTGCAGAAGGTGGTTACATCAAGCTGCACAAAGCCACTCTAGTACTGTTTCACTTTACCACTTCAATAATGTTATAACGCAGGTTTTCTTGATAAGCAAATGTCTAATCAGAGCGTTTGGAATGCATAAAACCTTCAGAAATTGTGTTAGGAAGCATGATATCTGCCAACCACAATCACCAACTCCAGTGCTGGAACATGGATCCTCCGAGAGGTCGGGGAATAACTGACAGCATATACCATCCTGTCTGAGAACTGGTATGACAGAAGAGTTGTTTGGTAGTGTTTGATTAAATACTCATTGACCCCAAGAAAAGAAACATAATTTCAATCCCGGACTCTGGAAATTAAGTCTCATAATGGTAAGTGTCAAACAATGTCAACAAAAGGCTCTTGAAAATGACTGTGATAACACAGAAAGACAGTTCTATCACCTCGCTTCCATTCATCAGAGACAGCAGTTTCTGGCATATGGAACATCATTCCATATATGAGTATTGGCCAACAAGCCTCACATTTTTCATTAAAAGGGAGGCCAGTGACCACAGTGCTGAGAATTTTTGAATGGATCAATAAATAGCAACGGGAAAAGGTACAGACAAACTGCAAACCTTGTCAAATCAGCCCTATTATCAGCAAAAACTGGAGTGTATCCTGCTCAAAATTAGGATTCTTCATGTTACATTAGCACTCTTCTGATGTAGCCAGACTTGCTTATCTTAATTTAAAAACTGGGATTTGGGTCAAACAACTTTGAGATAAGAGGGTCATGTTGTTACCATTTCCTTTGCCATCTACCTGTTTGTGACTTTTGAGAACATCTACCTCATTTCAGAAAGACATATCACCTGACTTATCCTCCCAGTCCCAACTACAGCCCTGTTACTGGGTTTGTGCCACTGGACTGTGCAGGTAACTGCAGATAAAACAGTTCCTCTGCTCCCATCTAATAGCAAGGAAATTTTGAGCAATTTAACAGTAAGAGAATTTGAACGAATGCAAAAAAACAGTGAAAAGAAGACTGATGATAGGATAAAGGATAAACTAAACGGGTGACTATGCTTTTGTAAGATTTGCCATAAATAATCCTTTATTCTGAGGTCCTACACAGGAGTGGAATGAGTTGTACTACGAAAAAAACAACAACCAAACAAAAAATAAACCTAAAACCAACAGAAAACATAATCAGAATCTACTGCTATTGGACAAACAGTGCAAATGTGTCCAGAACAGCAAGATGTTCAGGAGACTATTTGTCTCTCCATGTTGAAGATAGTCATGTTTGTCTGAGAAAGACTACTCTTTGTGCACTAAAAGTCAGTAGTCTTGCTGATGACTGCTCCTCTACCCTTTTCCTGACAGTTTTGTCAGGGAAGCTTTGGATTTGAACTCCAGCCACAACAGCTATATCCCACCATTCTCAATCACCCATGGTGAAACTCCAGAACCAAACATGGATAGTCCTGATGATTATATTTGTTTAGAATTAGAGAGGAAACTATCCTTCCCTGTCGGACTTCTGGGTACTTTTGTTGTTACTTTCAGCATGATGATAGGCATGAAAACTGAGCAAGAGTAAATGCATTAATGACAGACCGGATGCAATTTACTTATCTTGGCCACGTCTCAAAACTGTGATGGTCACCCATCCCTGCTGATGCAGGCATTGCTGCCAGCACTCCTGTACCAGCCAAAAGTTCTGAACATATGACTCTGCTCTGGGGAAATAAAAGCAGCAGCTCCACTTCCTTCATTAATTATGTCCCAGCCTTTTTCAGAGCAAAAGATACTGCTCACTACTCCTTGGTCCACTTATCTCTCTACTGCTTAGGGAAAGTAACTTGAATTCTTCACCTTCTAATGAATCAAAACCAAACTGTTATTCCCACTCTCACTGGAGGAACAGGCATCATGAAGAGTCTGATGACTGAAGACAGGGGGGTTTTTTACCTGTGATGCAAGTTTCCCTTCTAGTTTGCAGAGTCTGCAGACATGGTAGCCAACTTCTTATTTTCAAACTGAGCACATATGATATAAAAAGCATCAAGGTACTGGGACAATTATCATGCAATTCTAAAGACACAAATTTTGCAGTCACTTTAGAGGAGAACAGTGTTTTTAGTCTCTTCTTATTCTTTAAACATTTAATAGTAATCCTATTTTATGCATATTAATTTTAAGTCATAAAGAGATTTGCAAGGGTATTGATTTCATTGGCAGCTAAGGGCTAAATATCTTTATTTGGAGCCACAGCCTTCATCCTATTAAATCTCTACATTTATTGTCTGCACACAAATCATTATAAAACAGGCATTATTCAAGAAAGAACTCAATAGCAAGAGAAAAGCCCAATTAACAAGGAATTCAATGCAATTATGGAAGTTCGGAAGTTGCCTGGGGTTGTGTTTGCCTGCAAATCATTGGGGAAAGATGAAAAGGGAAGAGTTTGTTTCATCCCCCCTTCCAAAGTATTTTTTTTTCACTTCAGGTCTACATTATTAATTTTTAAAAGCTGAAGTATCAGGACTTCTACAAAGTCACAGGTTAGGAACAAAGATGCCATGAACTGGATTTCTGGGGGATCCTTATTTTGCAACAGAGTCATCAATGGCGGGGTTATCCCTATCAATAGCTAAAAGCAACAGACTGGAGCTCTTGTCTATAGCTCTTGGATGTTTATACATAATTAAACTGGCTTTTCTGACCCTAGTCTGTAGACATTAAAGTCAGGTCAGCACAAACAATCCTGGAATGTACATTATAATGCCTAAACTTCTTACATCCACTTCCACAGCCATTTATGGGAAAAAAGAAAAAAGGACTAAGAATGGAGAGCCAACAGAAATGGACACTGGCTAATTAAAGTCAGGCTTTTTAAAGTATTAGAACCTGCCTTATTTTATTATTACAGACTCAAATCTTTCTATAAAAAAATGCCACCGTAAATCCTCCAGCTAACAATGTAAAGTCAACGGATAAAAAAAAATCTGTCAGTTTATATACCTGTTAAAAAAAGTTGTGGAAACAGGAGGATCACAGTTGAATACCTTTGTGATAGCATTGAGGCATTTCAGGACAGCATATATTTCTTTACACAGTGTTTTTATGGCCTTTTTGTGTGCAATATTGTGATGGGCTTCATACACCTTCTTACACCAGTAAAATATTGTGCTGGTTACAAACACAGCAACAAATATGTTCAGTGAACTTTGAGAGCTGCACATTCCTGCTTTTCAGCATGCAACTGCTTTATCCCCTGTGGCAGCTACCCACAGCTTTCCAGTTTGGAATCAGGCTTCTGTTCTCAAGGTGGATTCAGATATATTATGATACATCACTCTTGGAAGGATGATGTTTATTTTCACAGTTTTTATCCCTAACATTTTCCTAGAAAGCAAACAGCTGAACCTAGCAAGGGTTTCCAGGGTGACCCCAATGGCCCCAAGACACTTATGACTCTACTCAGCATGCAGTGACACAAGGTAGACATACTGGTTCCTCCATTTCAGTCCTCCTGGGACGGATAGCAGCCTGTACATACACTGCCAAGACTGAAGGAAAGATACACAGTTTGAGATGGACCTTAACCTGGTTGTACTAACTAAGGTCCCATGAAATAGAAACATGGTTGCAAAAAGTGAAGGATGCTCAGGCTTTGCAACAGGTGAGGTAGGG